TGGCTATTGTGAATAAGGCTGCAGTGAACACAGGGGTGCATGTATCTTTACACATTTATGTGTCCATGTTCCTTGTATAAATACCCAGCAGTGGAATAGCTGGATCATATGGTAGATCTTAACTTTTTGAGGAATCTCCATACTGTTTTCCATAATGGCTGCACCCAAATTTCATTGGTTTGTGATAACAAAAGTTTATTTCTTGCTTAGAATACACATCATCTGCTGCAGCTCTGCTGGATTCTACTCAGCTCTTTTCTATGTGTTGTCTTCATTCTTTGATCACAGCCGAGACAGCAGCCCTAACCTGGGGCATGCCCAGAGACAACCTGGCAATGACTCCTCATGTTTCAGCTCAGATGCAACCAATGTCACATCTGTTTACATCCTATAAGCAGAAGCAAGTCACATGGCCAAAGTCAACATCAATGGGGTAGGGAAGTATACTCCCATAGAGGGAGAATTGCAAGTCATGTGATAGACACCCAGGAAATATGATCCTCTTTCAGGAAGAGGACCATCATTTGATACAATAATATAAGCTACCTCAAGTTTAGACATAAGCATCATCGTCTATTATAGAGATATACATTTGAGAATCATCAGTTTACAGGTTTCATTTGAAGCCATGGGAATGGATAAAATCATGGAGAGTATTTCAGACTTTGTGAGAAGAGAAATGTGAAGGGCAAAACCATTCTCTACATATGCTTCCATATTTACCATTGCACCATTGCTCATAATGTTTCCTTACCCAGAATACCCTATTCATCACTTCCATGTCCAAGTTCTACTTATAATACTTAGTGTGGTAACATTAGTGAGGGCTTTTTAACCTCTTCTTAACAACACCCTGACTTCTTTTTGGGAATATTACCTCTCCCTATTGTACCAGTTTGTTAGGTGGTAAGTCCAGCTGGTTGCTCTTCCATTACAGAAGCAAGGGGGTTCCCAGGGGCTTTTCCAACTAAATCTTCCTTTTTACTTTCTGTATTGTTAAGGGGTAAGCAGGTTGCATAAACTCAGCCAGTTAGATACTTCTGAGGTGGAGTTTGACTCCTGAGTAAGTGTCACAAGGACAAGTGAGAGAGTTGGAGTTCATTCAGCCCAGCAATGGAATCTGTTTAGGTAGTACCAACTTCCCATCTCTCTGCAATTGCTTTGATTTTACCTATTTTAAAGTCTGGGACTCACACTTTCCCAACAAATTTGTGAGTTCCTAATATCCTTATGATAGAGCTTATTTTCCTTAAACTAGTTAAGAGTTAGTGTATGGGGCTGGACCACTAGTGTAGTGATTAAGTTCGCATGCTCCACTTCAGTGGCCTGGGGTTCGCAGGTTTGGATCCCAGGTGCAGACCTACACACCACTCATCATGCCATGCTGTAGCGGTGCCCCACATGCAAAATAGAGGAAGATTGGCACAGATGTTAGGTCAGGGTGTAACTTGCTCAAGCAAAAGGAGGAAGATTCAAGCAAAAAGAGAAAGAATGGCACAGATGTTAGCTCAGGGCCAATCTTCCTCACACACACACACACACACACACACATACACACAGAGTTGGTGTATTAGCCAGCTCAGGCTACCATAACAAAATACCATAGACTGGGCAGCTTAACAACAGAAAGTTATTTCTGTTCTGGAGGCTGGAAGGCTGAGATCAGGGGGCCAGCATGGTTGGGCTCTGGCTAGAGTTCTTTTCCTGAGTTGCAAATGGCTATCTTCTGGCTATGTCCTCACATGGCAGAGAACAAGAGAGAGAGAGAATAAGGCCATAGTCCTATCAGATTAGGGCCCCACCCGTATGACTTCATTTAACTTTAATTACCTCCTAAAGACTTTATTTCCTGCTATAGACATATTGGGGATTAGGGCTTCAACATATGATTTTTGAGGGGGACACAATTCGGTCCACAGCAGTTGGGTTTCTAGAACTTCCAACCAAAGTATACAAACCAATACAGATAGAATTCCACTTATTCTGTAAAGCTTTTCTCAACTACTCTAGCTCTTACCCATTATCTTCCCTTTACTAGATTTCTTTAATTTTTTTTTTTTTTACTAATTGTCCCCAGGGCCGGCCCAGTGGCACAGCGGTTAAGTTCGCATGTTCCGCTTCAGCAGCCCAGGTTTTGTCAGTTCAGATCCCGGGTGCGGATGTGGCACCACTTGGCAAAAGCCATGCTGTGGTAGGCATGCCACATAGAAAGTAGAGGAAGATGGGCACGGATGTTAGCTCAGGGCCAGTCTTCCTCAGCAAAAAGAGGATTGGCAGCAGTTAGTTCAGGGTTAAACTTCCTCAAAAACAAAACAAAAACTAACTGTCCCTAATATAAATTTTATTTTTAATTTTTCTTTCTTTAGTGTCATAGCCTTAAAGATAATCTAGTTCAGTGGTTCTCATATTTGGTGGCTTGTTAAAACCATCTGGGAAGATATTTTTAAACTTGCCACTGCCCCAAGCTGCCCCCAAATTAAGTCAAAATTTTTTGGTGCGGGCCAGATAATACTATCATTTATTTTTACACCCCTCACGGTAATTCCAACGTACAATCAAGTTTGAAAAGTAATGAAGTAGTTCAGTCTCATTCACAAATTGAAAAATATGGCTGTTTCATATCTATTAGTTTTGTCTCCCTAACCTGATTGTAAATTCCTAGAAATAGGAATTCTTGCATTTACTTAAGAATAGCATAGTTAGTCATGGTGGGTGCATATCTGGCAAACAATAAATAAGCTCCATTATCTGGTGGTCTGTTAATCATTTCAGACACAGTGGTTTAAAAAGTACTCCTATCTGCACCTCTCCCAACTCCCTAATCTGATTTATTAGTATCAGGAGAGGCCTGAGCTTCACGAACAGCCATAGTTAAGAACCACCGCTAACCTATTTCCTGATGAAACTGATGTGTGAGTGAGCACAACCTGTCATAACATGGCAGGCTCATTTATTTCTAAAGAAGAAAAGAATTGTCTGGACAAATTTATTTACCAACGGACCCAATAAGAGTAAGTGGGCCTAAGAATCCTTGCTGAAAGAAAGACTGTTGTCTGAATTGTGAATTCTGTTACCAGAGGCAACAGTCAGCTCTTAATCCGCCAGTGTACCAAGGACTCCTATAGAACAGAGTGTCCCATTCACTTTAGAACCAGATCAAGAAGGCAAACTGTAGCTAAGATGATGAAATAGAAAAGTTCTTCTTTATCACTCCACTTTGCACAGCCCTCTGCATTTCCTAACTTTTAAAAGAGAAACTCTATTAATGCTTTATCTGATTAATGTATTGATTCAATAGATGCATTGATTCATTTCCTAAGGCTGGAGCCACCTACAGCTGTTTGTAACCAATGACTACAGATCCATTCTGGCCCCAGTTTGTCCTCCTCACTATCTACCCGTCCCTCCCCAACATATGGCCCTATTTCAGTTGGGGGCATGGCACTGTATGCTTTCCAAATTGGCCAATTTAAATCCCAGTAACCAAAGACCGGTAGGAACACGCCTATACTAAAAAAATGAAGTTAGGTTTATTTATCTTGCTGCAGCAAGTAAGAGTGTGCCCTTGAGAAATTACGAGACATTTCGTTATGTGGAGCTGGGAGGGGCTTCTCATAGGATTTAGACTTGAGCTAGATGATTTTAAGGAAGCAGGAGCTGTGCTGGATTTGATGTTGTCAAGAAATGGGGCAGATCCGAGAAAGGTCACCTTGGTGAATTTTTATCTAGGAAATGAGAGAATTAAAGCAGGAGTAGACTACACGCGTCATTGGTAAAGCAGCAATAGTCACTTAGGTTGGCCATAAGAGGGGGATGTTTAACCTTTTTTATGGTTTTATAGTGGCCTTGTTTCTGCTCACAGAGTGCCCCTAACGTTGACCATGTTTACATTCTGTGAGCGTTGATTATGTTCAGTTGGGCCCAACTTGGCCCGGCTCCCAGCAGGACTGCTTGTTACTTTCTCACAAGTAAAAAATCATTTGGTAGACCTGTTTTTAAATCAAGAATTTGAGATCTAATAGGAGAAGAAAGCTATAAAATACTAGCATGAGTATAAATTAAAGGCAGAAGCGTGCCAGTGGAGCATAAACCTTCTAAAGGCAGGGACCCTAGAATAACTGAGAGTCATACTGTAGCATAAGGATTTAAAATAAGTTCTGAATCTAACGGGCACAGTGCGATGCCCTGGCCCCTGGAGATTGGGCTGCCAATGACAGGCTTCTTTTGACCCTCCCAGGGCATAGTGTCTGCCATCACTTTCAGACTCCAGGGATAGAAATTGCTTAGCTACAGCTCACTGGCCTGTATATTTGTACGTGTGGTAGGCGTTCAGAGAGGAAGTAAACAGGTTCACTTTAGCACCCTTATCAGCCTATTAGGCACTTGGAGATATTACAGCACAGCAGACATCACTAACCTGGCGAAGCTGCCTGTTTCTCCGTTTTATATTCTTTTTAGACTATCTCTTTGAAGTTTAATTTACTTAGCATTTGCTCTTAATATTCTTTTATGCATTAATACATAACTTTTTGACATCTAGAAATTCAGGTGTTATATAATGGGTGAGTCTGTCTGATTCCTCACCAAATAGGTTTTCCCCATTCCCCATCCCACTCTAAGCCTTCACCCAAACCCAATGGCAAGAAAACGATTTAAAGCAACAAACCTTGTGGTTTACACTACCCTTCCCTCAGAGTACAGACACCTTCAATGGAATTCCCCAATATTCCTGCAAGGAAGGAGAATACAGTGTTGTTATTGCCGCTTGAAAGCAGCAAAAAACGCCCAGAGTTTATCTATGCAGATTTTTGGTAATGTTTCTCACAATGCTGTCCATGGACCACAAGCATCAGAATTACTGAGGGTCTTGCTAAAAATCCATATTGTAAGCAATACTCCAAACCTATAACAGAAACTTTGAGAACAGAATAGGGCATTAATCCACAGGAGATTTTCATGTACATTAAAGTTAATTTATTATCTCCTACTTTTGGACAGAGGCTTTGATGTGTGTTACTATATATAAAGAATGCAAACTTTCAGGGCACTTTGGCTTGTTCCCCCAGATGTCCCCATCACCTAGAAGAGTGGCTGACCTTTAGCACACACTCAGTGATTACTGTTTAACTACATGAACAGAAAAGAACATGAAGCCACAGGCTTAAAATAGGAAAGTAATTGAAAACAGGAGGAAGCACTTATGTCAGAATCCTGGCTCCCTGTTTATCGCTGCTTGACCTTGCGCAAATAACCTCCCTGTTCTTCAAAGTTCTTAAGGAGACTGTAGTAAGAGTACCACTTCCTTAGTTTGTTGTGAAGAATAAATGTTTAAACATACTGAGTGCTTAGAACAATTCTTGTCTAAAACACTGAAAAACTTTAATTAATTATGATTTAGCAGCAACCAGCCCAAGGCCAGGCATCCACTCAGCCAGATCTGATCTAAATTCTCTCACTCCTCCTACACTTTTTAAAAATATATACAAGACTTGGCAGATATCAGAAGATCCTCTCTTTCCAAAATAGCTCTTTCACATACTGCTTGGTCCTTCCTATATGGACAGAAATTTCCACCATGGCAGTCATTCTGCTACATCAGACAGGAAAGCTGAGCATTTTCTAATAAAACAAGCACCTTTTCCCAAGGGTGTACTGGAAATCACAAACTAAGGCCTTCCTTTTCTATTAGCTAGCCTTCCGCATGAACTGCAGGCAGGTTGGTGTGTCAGAGGGCCTGGCAATGAGTAGATTTCAAAAGCCTATCAGAGATACCCTTTTTTAACCTCTGCAGTTAACGATAAGGGGAGCGGGGGTGGGGATGGGAGTAAAGGGGGAACTTTTAAAAACGACGTGAACACAAAATTTTAAATCCCGAGAAAGTACACTGAGCCATTTGATTTTGTTTGTTTCGTTTCTGTTTGATCAAGGGCACTAAGCCCCTTCCTGGGATAGGCAATGAGTAGAACCCAGATGAGGACAGGTGTGCCCACCGTCCCACAGCGTCTGGCCTTCCAAAGGAGGAACAACAAACCAAAAGCCATTTTCTTTAAGGCTTCCACTTTTCCAATCCAATCCTTCCATCTGCATTCGATGATCTTGGCAGCACGGTGAGGGTGGATACAAAACCCTTTTCAGAAGAATTTGACTAAATCAAGTAATTTTTTAAAAACGAGGCTTCCTTGTTCCTACACTTGGAGAAGTGACCTTGGAAAGAAGACGCACGTCATCTTGGGCATTTCAGCGGGCGCAGTGCGAAAGGTGTGTTTGGTGCCTCAGCTCTGGACAAAACCGAAGGTGGGAATGGAAACTCGGATAGCGCTGAGAAGTAAAAGAGGATAGAATCAGAAGTACGACAGAGGCAGCAGAGCCAGGGTGGGGGTAAGAAGGAGAAGAGGAGCGCCTGGGAGGGATGTCACGCTTTTTGTCTTTAAATGGTTAGAAAGCCGCAAGGTGGAGGAGGCTGAGAGGAGGGTGGAGGGAGAGGACGGAGGAGGGAGGGGGGAGGAGGGAAAAGAGAGAGAAAGGAGGACCGGGAGGAGGGAGGAGGGAGGAGGAAGAAGAGAGTGGAAGGAGAGGAGAGAGCAGGGAGAAGAGAATGCGAGGAGAGGAAGGTGGAAGGAGAGGAGGGTGGAGGGAGAGAAGGCGGGGTTCACTCGCGAAGTTGGCCCGAGGCGGATCCGGTTTCCTGCTCTCACCGCGGGGAGTCCCGGCGGCGCGGAGACCGCACCCGGGGCCTGCCCGTCCCGCGCTTTCCGAGCTCGGCGAGAGTTGGCTGCGTGAACCGGTGAAACGCCCAACGAATGAATGACCCTCCTACCGGGATGGGGGCGCCGCGTCCCCGCGGAGGTACGAATCTCAAGGACTTTCCCCGCAGCCTGGGGCGCGCTGCGTCCTTTCCGCGCCAAGTGGGGCGCGGGGCTCCCCTGTCCCCGCACGCCCCGAAAACCACGGCGGCGGGGACGAGAGTAAGCCGGGGCGGCGCCCACGAGGACCGCCGGGCCGGAGAGAACGTGGATCGTGAGTCCTGGGTCAGAGAGAAAGTGCTCTTTCTTCTGCACCCTGAGAGGTGGTTGGGGACTCGAGAGGACCCTGCACGGGAAGAGGTGGCCGGTGGAGAGGATCTTTCCCAGACAGGCGGAGACGATCGGGAACTCGACTGCCCTTCTCCCCTCTTTCCACAAGAAAAGGGAATTTCTGGCAGGGGTATAGACTTAGATGCTGCCTCTGGAGCCCCGCCGCGAGTCGCCGCAGCCCCACCGAAATCCGTGCTTGTGCGGGTCGTGGATTATCACGTGACGGAAGAAGTCCTGCAGACCGCGTGGACGAAGGGCTGCATGACCACACGGACCAAGGAGTGCTCCATGACCGCCGTCACTTTTCGCACCAACAGGGAGTGAGGCAGACTATGGGGCGCCGGGAGCGCGGGAGATCCCCGGGCTCTCCCGGCACACAGAGAGAGGCACCCCTTGTCCACGCCGCGGAGAGAGGCTCCTTTTACGGTCCCCAAGGACCTGATTCCCCGAGGAGATTAAACAGGAAAGAGGAGCCTGAGGAATGCTCCGGGCTGGTGAATGAGCGATAATCCTTAAGAAAAGAAAATGCTCTTCCGGGAACTCCAACCTGTAATTAACCAACAGCAAGAACCTTTTGAGAGGCTGGCGCAACGCTTCTGGGAGGCAGACGATGGCACCCAATCCCCACTGAAGAACTGTAAGCAACATAATACCTCCATTGTGGCTCAAATACTGTGACGGTTTGGGGACCTAAGCCATTCAGAAGAGGAGAAGAAAAGGTATTTTCAAATTGGCAGAATGCGAGAGTTTTGAAATAAGAAAATCTGTTGTTAGCACTCACTTTGCAAGCCTCAGTTGATCTTTCTGCCTCCTTCCTTTCTCTTTGAGGCCTAAAAGCAGAAGTGAAGTTGAGGTCTGTTCTCTGCAAAGGGGGTGGGAGTGGATGGGGGAGAGGCTTGTTTTAAAAGCTGAAAAACAAAGTACAAAGAAATGGGAAAATTAAAACAGCAGCAAGTGAACAAGGTCTTTTCTTTTTACTCTCTTCTGATGTGCACATTTTCCCTTTTTTTCACATTTAAGTGTTAGGAAGCAAAGAGAGGAGCTAGGTAAAGAAGCGGGGGGCGGGAGAACAGAAGACTGAGCTTTGAAGGTGAAATGCCCTAAAGTATTTAATTTAGTCCAGTAAGAATGCTTTTAATCTGAAATTTTTAATTATTTTAATGTTTAAAATACTGCAGATAAATCTTGTGATCTAAAGGTAGATAGAAATGTATAGTTTGCCGTAAAATGGTTGTATATAGTATTCTTACCCATAATTTTTTGTTAATAACATTTGTGGTCAAGACTGGATTGAATATACATCTCTTCTGATGTTGTTGGAAATAATCTCTCCTGGTGCTATTGAAACTTGTTTTCATTTTTTTATTCCTCTTTTTTATTAAACACTATCTTTATTAACTCTTTAGTCGCGTGGCCTGGTTGGGACATCTGTGTGGGGCAGAGTGCGCCCTCCAGAGGTGCACTGCTTGACTTTAGCGCTGCTGCTGGAGTAATTGGTTTCTGCAAGAATGAACAAGACAAGTGGGACTCTGGCTGTTGAGGAGCAAACTGTTGGACAGTGCCCCCCATGCGGCTTCTCCCTCTTTGCACCTTATTTTCAGTTTAGAGCTTGAAATGCTTTCAAACATCCTCTGATACACGTCTTGCCTCTTGGCAGACAAGATACTTAAGACATGTCCCTATTTTACAGATGAACCAACCTACGCCTAGAAGTCATGTGGCTTGTGTAGGTCACACGGCTAGTACTTGCATGTGCTTACCAAGTAGATAATAATATGATGATCTCTCTCTTAGAGATTTGGGTGTGGGCTTTAGAAGGGCTTACTTCTATGGGATCAGGAGATGACTGGGGGCATCCTGGGTTTTCTGACTCCTGTTATGAGAAGTACTACAATCCCCTTGATGTCCCTAGTCCTGAGGGCCTGTTGGCTGGAGAATCACCACTAGCATTCTCAGGCCTGTGAGATCCTCATGTGAGAGAGGAATTCAGCACCTGACATCACCTGTGTTCAAAACTGCTTGGTAGGGAGAACAGGTAATATAGGCCCTGGAAAGTGCGTTATCTTTTCCTCGAACAACCTGCCTGGCTCCTATGTGAGGTTAAACTTCTTGGCAGACAAATTTCACACCTGACTGAATAAATTTGGTTGTGAGTCATTATATGCCCCAGATGATTGAGCATGGAATATGGTCAACAAGAAAAGCCTTATTAACATTGACCCAAATGGTAGCATCATTTGGTCGCCTTCTCTGTGGAGGCCAGCTCTGGAGTTCAGCTTCTTGGGTTCAAAACCGCTTCGCCTCTTACTGGGTGACTTTCAGCAAGTGCTTAATATCTATGTGCCTCTGTGTCCTTGTTGGTTAAATAGAGGCAATAAATACTATCAACCTCAAAGGGCTTTTTCCTAGGATTAAGTTAAATGAAAAATATTTACAACAATGCTTGGCATACAATAAATGCTCAAAGTTAGCTATAATTATTATCAGTGTTGTTGTTATTGATTGGTTCACTTTCATCCTAACCAGGTTTTAGTCTTTTATTTAAGAAAAAACAGCTGAAGGCATACAACAAGAAATCTTATAGAACTCAAACCAATGGTTTTCATTGACTCTTTTTCTGAATTCCTGAAAGAAAAGGCTTATTCTAGCTTTTCCCAACATTTCATAGATAAGTAAATACATTCTTTAAATTCCTTACAAATGACGCCCACTTCTTGTGATAAAGATCCATCCTAAAGGTCAAAGTCCTGAGGTGCTCCATACTCCCGGACAGTCTTTGAAGAGGTTTCACAGACCAGTAGGTTCCCCTTGGCAGTAGGAACTTCGAATACTTTCTTTAGAACCTGTCATGTTGGTTTGTTTTCGATTTAGGATTTTAAATCTGATGTCCTGTCGTCTCAGAAAAGCAGAATAGGCACAATCCTCGTTTTATCTCCTTTCTGTCAAAAATGCATTTTTGCAAGTCATTTTAATTCCTTTAATCAAAATATATTTGGGTTAATTTTATCTCCTTTAAGTAAAAATTATTTTTAAAACACGTATCCAACCTTCCTGTTAATTGCCTACAACATGCTTATAGATTTCTTTTAAACAGATGTCTCTCTCTTATAAAAAGCAGTAAGTTGAAGTCTTGTTGAATTTGCTTCACAGGTTTCCTGATGCAAGCAGAACCTCATCAGGTGAGGAGCCTGAGGAATCTTTTCCCATTCACAGTGTTCTGGGAGTGAATCTAAAGTGAAACTTGGGCATCCTCAATACTAAGAAGTCTCTGAGAATGGCTGGGTCTGGACTCTTGGGTCTTACCTCCACGTCACCAGGAAATGTGATCGTGTAAAATTCTTAGGGGGATTAATCGCAAGGACTTCCGGAAGCCACTTGGCCACTCACGCGACCATAAGACGAATACACAGTCACGTAACCACCATGGATCAGGCCAGTGTCGACCTCTCTTAAAATCTTTGTCCACCACTTCTGTCCTTGGAGATTCATTATATTTGACTTGTTGCTCTTGTTGGTCATCACCAACACTTGATGTGACTTTTTGCTTAAAAAAAAAAAGAAAAACTTTCTATTAAAATAAAAAGTTATATTCACTGCAGAAAATTTGAAGAAATATTACTTTGTGAGGAAAAAGAAAAATGGAATAAAAGAAAAGAACTCTCCATGACACCAAATCTTTTAAAATATTTGGTATATTTCCATCTGGTTTTATTTATTTAATCTGTTTTTAATGTGTATACACTTTCCTGAGTGTGTGTACACTTTCCTGACCATAAACTGTGTATAAGATCTGAGTATTGTCTTTATATAAACTAACATACACTGATGCCACTCAAGGTGTGGTCTGTGAACGAGGCACAGAATGATGCATGCGTGGGCATCTCCAAGGAGGTTTTTAGAAATGCAGAATCTAGGCTCCACCCCAGGTCTACTTGAATCAGAATTTGCATTTTGACAAGATCCCTGGGTGATTCACATTAAAGTTTGAGAAGCATTGACATATATGCTGGATTTAGTCTGTATCCTGCTTTGTCACTTACCAAAAATAAAACTTTTTTTTTTTTTATATTCTCCATTAATTGTTAAGAATGCCATGGAAATAATACTCTGTAGAATTATGAAAACATTTAGAGGTTGCAAAAGAGTGAAATATATACTGGTTTATGAATTGGCAAAGAGATCTCTAAAAAGCTTTATAATGTTTTTTTAAAGAGCCTTATTCTAAAGTTTTTCCTAATGAAACATTGATTATTGGAGTTCAAACTATTTCAGAAATGTTGTTTTATTGTCTGAGAATGTGAAACAATACTTTAAAACCCCTTCAGGGAAGAAGGCCAGAAAGTCATTAAAGAAAGCACAAGGGGCTGGCCCACTGGCAGATTGGTTAAGTTCCACACTCCGCTTCAGTGGCCCAGAGTTTCACTGGTTTAGATCCCGGGTGCGGACCTAGTACCACTCATCAAGCCATGATGAGGTGGCATCCCACATAGCACAACTAGAGGGACCTACAACTAGAATATACAACTGTGTACTGGGGGGCTTTGGGGAGAAGAAAAAGAGGAAGATCGGCAACAGATGTTAACTCAGGGCCAATCTTTTAAAAAATAAGAGGGGAAGGCAGACTGAAAAATAATTGGTATATAATTCTCATGCAGTACCCTACGTTCAGTGAAATAAAAATTTAAAAAAAGAAAAGCACTCTTGCAGCCCTTGCTGGCTGAGTCAGAACTGTCAGCCACTTGTAGTGAATGGCCGGGGGAGAGGGGAAAGGTGGAGGCTGAATTTGAATCAACTGATTCAGGTAAGAAAACAAAGGCCGTGACTCTTGAACACCCTGATATCTTTATAACTCTAGTCAGTACTTTGCTCTTTAATTAGGGAGGGCAAATCTTTGTAAGTTCACTTCTCTAGATGAAGATAAGGAGAAAAACAATCCAGTTTACTTTGGAAAGGGTGAAGAATTATAATCACTTCTTAGGCACCATGCAGCCAATAGTTAACCAAGCATAAAATTGGTTGGCTTCAAAGCAAGGAATTAACTTTAAATTCAAACTCGGATGTCTAAGTATGAGACAGAAAGAGTACTCTTAGGAGACTGCAGCCTTCACAGAAGTAGGACAGAGGCTGTTTATTCAGAGTTCAGTGTAGGAAGGGAGTCAACCAGCATCACTTGCACTTGGCAGGGAAGAAAAGACAGGCAGGGCGCGCGGTGGGAAAGCATCATAGTGACCAAGATGACTTTACAATTATCCTCAGCTCAACTAAACTTTAAATAGATTTCTTCCTGACTCTAGGTCCCTGATTTCTTTATCTCAGAGCACTTGCTTGAGAAAACTTTCAACTGTAGATTCTTTCTCTGCCCGCTTTGAGATGTAAATCTTCTAAAAAATCTCTTGTCAGTTTCACAGCCCAGGAATCTCTTTCTCAAGGAATTGGGAGCCATCCCTTTGAAATATAATCATGAAGAAAGACAGGGTCCCTAACTCCTAGTCTCTCTGAGAGGGTAGGAGCCCAGCTCCATATAAGCATCAATTAGCAAACACAGATGGCCTAATCGTACTGACCAACCTCCTCCCTAACGTCCTCCAGTACTGTCCCACTACCTCACTCCCGTGCTCAAAATCACCTCCCCCTTTTGTTTCAAAGGAGTTGAATTCACTCTCTCCTGTTACAATAGTCTTGAATAGAGTCTTCCTTGCCTGTTTAACTCCGTCTGGTGCAGCTTTTCTTTGACAACTGGAAAAAGGAAGGCTTCCTGTATACTCTGATTGGAAGCCATTAGCATGGGGAAGCTGGAGGTGGGCTATCGAGAAGGGCTTCTTATGTGATTGGTTTAGGGCTTTCTCGTCTGGGTCCTCAGTTGGAAGGGTGCAACAAGTTTGGGAAGCTGGTAGTCATTGACCAAGTTCTGATCTTTCTGGGCTGATGGCAGCAGAGGCTGTGGTCTGATTTCCCAAGCTAGTTGCCCCAGAGATTGTAGGTTGGAGTTCTGCAACTTGATAAATAGTATCAACCTCACAGGGTTTTCTCTAGGAGTGAGTTAAAAGTACTTAGAACAGCAGAAAATACTCAAAATTAGCTGTTACTGTTATTGTTTAGTTCACTTTTCATCCTAACCAGGCTTTAGTCTTTAATAACAAAGAGCAGAATACATACAACACCAGAAATCATATCAAACCCAAACCAGTGGTTTTTGTGAAGATTCTTCTTTTTTCATGTTATCTGTGGTCTAGTCATTGTCTATTTATATATTTGGTCTCGCATTAGTTTTAGGACAATCTTGAAGATAGTTAGAAACTAGAAGACCCAGTCACAGAATTCTTTTTTAAGACAATCACATTATATTCTAGAAACATCTAGAATGCGGATTTCAAGTAGTTTCTTTATGGGGGTGAAATATTCTTTGACATAGTTCAGCCTTGACAAAATGCTATATAATGGATTAGTGCCATCTTACTGAGAGTGAAGAGCTGTGTAGACTCCCAGGCATGGGGTATTACGCAGTGGTCACTGAGGGTATTGAGTGCATAAGCCTGAGCTTAAGACTGGTTTGTTGGACAATCTTCCCCAGGCTCAGAACCCTGAGCGTTAAAGCTGATTCTATGCCCATTGGCTCATCCTTGGGCACATGTCCTACTTCCATAATAATTTGTGACTTTAAAGCTATTTTGAAAGTCCTCTAGGTCTACACAAAAGTGGGTACAATTGAATATCCCAAATTCAACTTACTTGAGAGAAGAGTAGGACGGTATAAGGGGTACTAGATAGTTTCTACCAAACCAAGAGAACTTTCAGGGAGGGTCTCTGAACACAGTCAGCTTCTCTCAGGATTCTCTGACAGCTGATGTCCACGTCTCAGAGAGAAGCCCTGAGCGTGCCCGTGGACTTCCCAAGCCAACCTCAATATTGACCCAGATCCCCGAGGTTATAAGGTTCAGGCTATGCAGTCTTTCCATCCCAACATAACTGGGTGGGAAAATGTGCAAACTTACAAGTGAAATAACCTTATAATCAAAATGCTGGAGTGGAAGAAAGGAGATTCTGTGACCTATATTCAGCGGCATGCCAAAGACTGGGCAGTAGGCAGAGTTTGCCCCAGGAGTGAGCAGTAAGCAGTGCACCATCTTTCAAGATTTTAAAACAGTGATAAAGCTGGACTAAAAGTCTGTCTGCCTTTTATCATCACCATGTGCTTAGTGATCAAAGGCTCCTCTCTGAAAAAAAAATGTCTTCTTGATCTAAATTCTAAAAAATTCCTGTGATTATTGTTTGAATTTTAATAATACTGATGTAAGCTTTGAATTAGCACATTTTAATTTTCCTTTGCTATATTTTTCTATGTGAAAGCTAATTTAAAGAACCCTCAGCATTGTCCTCCTAATCTCTCTGGCCTCCTCATAAACACAGTGCTCGCACACACACACACACACACACACACACACACACAAGCAGCTACCTGCATTCATTTTGACAGTAAATTCCTAAGGACTCAAAATCTTTCAAACTCACTTGGAGTGTTCTTTGTGTCCCCAACTTCTATCTATTCCTGCATTTCAAGAGCAGATGCAATATAAATAACACAGTGATTGTAGTGATTAAGAAAACGAGCTTGAGTTACTTCAATTCTGACATTATATGTGACTTATTGTGTAAAATTTTACATAGGGAAACAGCAAAATGTAGTATTTTTTTGTTTGATAAGAGCAAACTTAGTTCACACGTGAACTATTTTATTGGATTTGAATATATTTAACATGAAATCTATTTTCTATGGCTCATTATTTTAAAACTAAAGAATCGTTCAAGAAAATAAAACATTACTTGAGTGGTATAATTTAGTGGTGGTCCTGTTTCTTTTACTGACATTTCAGTTTTATTAAAGTTTATTTAACAATTTACTTGACAATTAATTCAGACAAATTGTTATATCAGACTAATCAAAAGATGAACGTTATTTGTTTTACTATATGATCATTACTGAACATTATTTTCTCATATTGGTATTAAAAATTATCTGCTTCTGGTGTTAGGTTCACTAAGTATACACCACCAGTACGTAGTCATAATGTTAGAAAAATGGAGGACTGAAAAGTTTGGAATTAAAACTCATATTTCCTGATTTCTAATCAAAGCTATTTCTGTTATTCCCTCTGTAAGAGAAAGCAGTCCACTAATTTTGACTTCAGATTTAAGATTATATTGTTGAACACCAATTATGTGTTAAGTGCAATTACCTCTTATATGTGTTCAAACCGTAAATTAAAATTAGCAGGTCCCATCTCTTTATCATTTACGGTTTCATGTAGTTCAACTGACAAGTCAGGGAGCCTTAGTATTCCCAATTTGGCTCATTCTAAAAAGGGTTTGTGGAAAATGCTGGATTGGGATGACCAAGAAGGCCTCAATAGTCCTCTCAGCTTGACTAAATTTTGTATAGGTTTCTTCCTGACACTAGGGCCTGACCTCTCCCTTTTTAGAACATTTATTTGAGAAATCTTTTCATTATAAATTCTTTCTTTGCTCCTTTAATATATAAATCTTTTAAAAAAATCTCTTGCCAGTTTTATAATCCAGGGACGTCTTTCTCAAGGAGCTGGAAGCCAGCCTTTGGAATGTAATCGTCAAGGAAGTTAGCGTCCCTATTTCCCAGTCTCTGTGGGAGGGTGAGAGCCTAATTTCAATGGACACTAATTAGCAAACACTGATGGCCTAATCACGGAGAAAGTATCTGCAAGTTAAAGAGTAGTTCAGTGTGCTGGATGGATCCCAGTGATCAGCCTCCCCACTGGTGTCCTCCTGTGCTTGTCCACTATCTTGTCCCAGTGCTGACAGGCCCTTCCCCACTTTGTTTCGACAGGGTTGAGTGCAGACTAAGTTCTGGCCTCTCTCCCCTATTGCAATCGACTTAAATAAATTCTCTCTTGACTATTAGCTTTGTCCAGTGCAATTTTTGTTTTGACGGGGAGTAGGTAGGAGTAGGGGAGAAGCATTTATGTTGATGATGGGGAGATACATTTGACATCACAAAGGCTAAAGATGTTTTATGTTTCAGGGGGACTGACAATGATTTCTTTA